CCTGGGCCAGGTGTCTGCAGAGCAGAGGCTGACTCAGACAGGTGCCCGCCCCTGTCCTGGGAGGCATCAGGTGTGCCAGTGCATGTCCAGGTGTTTCAGGTGTGTGTGGGGAGGGGCAGTACGAGGAGACAGGACTGTGTCTTCCTGACTCTTCCACACACCGGCTGTGGTCTTCGGGGACACCGCTTACCTCTGTGGAGCTCAGGTCCCCATCCGTAAGAAAGGGGCATGATAGGGTGACCACAGCATTCTAGCGTTGAGATTCTGGAGCCATGGAAGGTTCTGGGCTGGTGAGACAGAGCTGCAGCTGGTTTGCAAACCAGGCTCAGGGGCGAGTATCTCATTTGTGAGATAACAAACAGGTGCGGCCTAGCGCTCGTCACTCACGGGCCAAGGCTGGCTGCCCCCTTTCTGCTGGCGCAAGGCTGTGGGTTCAAAACTGGCTTCTTGTGGGACCCGAGGGTGGGAGGCTCTCGAGGCATCCAGCTGCACAGCCCTGACCAACATCTGCCAGACTCTCAAAGGAAACAGTGGGTGATGAGAACAACGACTTTGACATTTCAGCCTGTCTTTGGTGCATCTGGCTTTCCCACAAACCCACCATGACACACGTTTATGCAATGAAGTGTTTGAAACATCAAGTAGGGGTTCATGAAAGAGCCCACAAGATCAGGCATTTCCAGTCTTAAAAGATGGTGTTTGGGGTGTGTCTCACACCCCACCCCACTTCCTCGCCACCCTGCAGGTGGGCTCCCAGCCCTGTGCTCTTAGGGGTGCTGCTCACAGGGACACGTGAGCATTCTTGCTTCGTAATCACTCACATTCTGTGGCCTTTCGGGGTTAGAGTTTTGGCTCAAATGCACACAGGGTGTGGGACCTTTTGGAAGGATGTGTGTAGTCTGGAAGGATGAGTTGGGGGATAAGCTATGAAGCATCACTCTTGTTTCTCCAAGTTACACCAGGAGAAAGCAAGAGAGTGAGGATGACAGCGGCAGTGGGGCCAAAAGGATCACTTAACTTATTTGAGCGTCAGTCTCCTCATCTATATTTATTGAATTAACAGATATGTATGGAGTGTCTCCAACACCAGTCTAGATTGGGAACAGCAGTATCTTAGGCAGAGGCCCTCAGGTGGGCAAGTAATTGCCATGTTTGGTGAACAGAAAGGCCAGTGTGGCCACAGTGTGGTGAGAGAGGTAGAGTAGAATGAGATAGGTTGTAGAGTTAGGAAGAGCCCAGATAATGCAGAGGCTTAGAAGTCATGATGAAGAAAGAGTTCAGATTCCTTTCTTAAGGCGATGGTGAGCCACAAGAGTGTTGTTTGAAACCCCCTGGCAATGGGCAAGGAGACACCTGATTGGTGGTGTTGCTCTTAGATCAGTCAGGGGCAAAGCAGATGTACAGTCCTTAGTTCATCCTAGCTTGATGCCTGTGTCGGTGGCCAGAGCTGTTTCATGCCTGAGGCGCATGAAAATAAATAAATAAAAAAGAGTGTTGTTTGACACAGCAGACCAGCATGGTCAGATTTCTACTTGAATGTGAATGTTGTCAAGCTTCCACAATAAAATAAAGTCAGCAGCAGGCCGGCAGCACCTGCAGAGTGTCGGGGATGGGGCACATCTCATCACTGACTGAGGTTGCGGAAGAATCTTCCATTCCTCCCGAAGAGTCCTGTTCCTGACCTGGGACCCTCCTGTCTTCATTAATTCAGTCCATGTGTATTGGTTGAGACTGCACCCTTGAACAAGACAGACAGTGTAACACATATAATTTGTCAATGCCCAGTGCTCTCCCTGTCCTTAGGAGCCTATATATTACCATTTCTACATTCCCTGGCAAGTGGAATCCTGATTGGGTCCTGACAATGGAGAAGCAATTGCAGGAGATTGGAAGGTGAAAGAGGAGGAGCCATTGTTCAGGGCAGCTGCTGAAAGGCATGTGGGAGACGGCACAGGGGTGGGGTGTGTTTCTTGAGCTTTGTCATGCCCTCCTAAGAATCGCCCACTTGAGTGCTGCTGGCAGCTAAAACTATTGGCTGTAGCAGAAATTTTTCATTTCAAGGTTTTGCATTTCAGTGACCTCCCTGACCTTTGCCCGTGCAGCCTTCAGTCCCTGCATTAACCCTTTCCTTCCTCTGCATATTTGGAGTGGCTTCTGCTTTCCTGACCAGCCTCCGAGTGATCCACAGGGGCAGGCCAAGAAAGGGTGTATCTTGGATCTGATCATCCTGTTTTGGGGGGTGGGGCTGAAGGATCATTTTGGCCCCATTGCCACTGTCATCCTCTCTCTCTTGATTTCTCCCCTCAACCTGGTGTAACTTGGAGAAACAAGAGCGATGCTTCATAGCTTATCCCCCAACTCATCCTTCCAGACTACAAAAGGACATCAAAGTCGCCATTCTCTTGGACACAAGAGATCAAATTGAAGCATAAAGCAAGCGGTGGCTACCTACCTACTCAAGTGAGAAAACAAATCTTCTACCCCTTGCAAATTTTCCCGAGCCAATCAGATCTTGTGAGGTGAGAGTAGAGAGGGGCCTCTGCAAAAACAACAGAGAAGCAGCACAGCCTGCGGAGAGCAGTCAGAATTGGCTGTGAAAGAGTCTTGGCTCTGCCTCTCACATTGTGGAGGGAAAAAGCAAAACGCCTAAAAAGGAATGGGAGTTGGATGGACCACCGACTTCTCTAAAACGGCTCTGGATGCGAGAAGACAGAGTCATCATTGAAAAATCTTGGGGGGGGGGGGAATGTCTGATGTGGGAATGTATGTCCCCCTAAACTACCACTCGAATATGAGTGGTATTATAAAAAGGCATGAATCCCGGGAGGTGGGGGATCCCTGGGTCATCTTGCCCTCCACAGAGAGGAAAAATAGCACAGAAAACAGGGCACCATGTATAATCACAACAAAATTACAAAGTGTCAAGCAATTAATCTAAGAAAGAATGTAGGAAACCATCCTAGAGAAAAATTTTAAAGGTCGTGGAAAATCTAATCAGGGAAAAAACATTGTAAAAATAACCCTCCCCCCAAACTACTGCAATTACAGTTAATCGTGCTCTAGAACATTTAGGAACATGATACTATTTTGTCCTAATCTTTTCAGGAGAGATTAAATATACTTAAGTAGCCCAATCAATTTGAAAAAGAAGAGCGAAAAGGGGGAACTTTGCCATAACTAGCTCTTGAGACATTCTACAAAGCCATGATTATGAAAACCGTGTGACCCTGGTCCTGGGATGCAGAAACAAACCAATGAAATGGAAATAAGAGCCCAGAACAAGACTCTATGTAAAAAGTTGTTATGTGATGAATAAACCACTGGAATTGAACCTCCCAACAGAAGGTTTAGGCAAGAAAGTGAGAGAACTAAATTTGTTTTTCAAAACATCTTTCTTGTAGCATTTTGCAGGGAGTCTTGGGTTTGGGAACAGCTGGTGGCAGAGTGACCAGTTAGGGAGCCATTGCAGTATTTCAGGTGAGAGATTACAAAAATAGCAGCAGGAAGAATGGGAGTGGAGAAGGTGTGATGTGAGAAACAATTGTCCTGGGTGACTCGTTAAATGTAGGGAGAGAAGAAGAGAGAGGAGTTGAAGTTGTCACCAGAAAGAGTGACCTCAGGTGATTAGAGGTTGTATAGGGAGGGGTGGGGCGGGCAGAATGTGGCAGGGACACAGGTTTGGCGTTGATTCGGTACAGGGGGAGAGCCAGAATGATAGTCACGGAAATGCCAAAGCATGATAGAGCAGCTAATGACATTGAAAAGCGGCCCTCCAGTAGAATGGAGAGTAAGAGTTTGTGGGAGGTTTATATGGTTTATAGGAAGGACTGTGACCAAAGCTGAGCTGGGAAGTTGTTGGCACATAAATGGTATCTGAGGCCAGAGGAAAGGGTGGGGCCAGTCCAGGTAGAGTTGCCATCTTTACCAACAAACAAACAAGTAGGACAATCAGTTCAATTTGAATTTCACATACACAATGAATACTTCTTAAAACTTATATTCCTTGTGATATTTAGGATCTACTTAACCCTACACATCATTTACTGTTGATCTGAAATTCAAATTAAACTGGCATTTCACCTGCCAGCCATAACAGCCCCTGCAAACAGGAACGGCTCTGGGGACCAGGACGGCATTGGCTGTGGGGAGGAGGGGTGCAGGTTGGGCAGCCTGGAGTACGTGTCTCATGGGGAAGGGGGGCAGCTGGTGCCCAGATCTTGCTGATTGCATTTGCAGAGATGGCCTTCAGGGTGTCCAACATTCTAATGTTCAAAAACAGAAAATAGATGTTTATTATGAAATATCCCAATTTTATAAGGGGACAACCACTGAAAAGAAAACACATTGCGAGGCACAAGCAAAGCAGGTCTGTGGTTCCATAAGGCACATGGGCCGCTGGTTTGCAGCCTCTGGTGGACTCTCTGGCGAGTGGGTGGGGCCGGTGTTTCACTGTAGATTATGGTGCTTTGGAAGGTCAGGTACAAAGGCTTTGTGCAGGGAGAGGATGACAGCAGGGGACGAGTCTTTCATGTAAAAGGTAAGATGTGAAAGCCACGCTTCCAACCACAACTCCACGGCGTCCCCCTCGGTGCCTGGATGTACCCATGGCCACTGCGCCCGTAGCTGGGCGGCAGCTGAAGCCACGGGCCTGCACCTGGTGCTACCTGCTCGCAGGGCCCGCCCAGCCTCCCGCCAGCCTCGCCGGCGCTCGTGCAGCCATTGGGCAGTGCAGGCTTTCATCAGAACGTTGTGGGTGGAAACTTCCCAGGGTTTGCGCTGAGCTTCCTGAGGGTTCTCAGCTTCAGATGCAAAGTGAGTGGGTGTCTCTCTGAGAAGCTGAAAGAGAGAACCAAAGTGAGGTGTTTCCCTTAACCATGGAAACTCTATAAAGAAGGCGCCGGCTCCCTCCTCTCGAGCAGTCAGCAGCAGATGTCCCCTCGTGACACCTGGACTCCAGGGACTGAGAAGGAGGTACGCCCTTTGCAGGTTCTGTGGCTGCCATGCAGCAGCCCCTAAACTACCCGTACCCCCAAATCTACTGGGTGGACAGCAGGGCCCCCTCCCCTTGGACTTCTCCAGGGACAGTCCTCCCCTGTCCCTCCTCGGTGCCTAGAAGACCTGGCCAGAGGAGGCCACCGCCACCGCCGCCACCACCACCACCACCACCACCGCCACTGCCACCCCTGCCTCCACTGCCACTGACACCTCTGAAGAAGAGCAGGGACCACAACACAGGCCTGTGTCTCCTTGTGATGTTTTTCATGATCCTGGTGGCCCTGGTTGTGCTGGGGCTGGGGATGTTTCAGCTGTTCCACCTGCAGAAGGAGCTGGCCGAGCTCAGAGAGGTAAGCCCTGTGCTTGCTGGGGCCCGAGTGCTGGGCTGAGACAGCTCTGTGTGGTGGATGGTGGCAGGCTGCCCTGGTCCACGCGGACCACGGTCTTCCTTGCAAAGTGCTCTTCAGTCCCTTATTCCTGCTTCAGAGGTGGACCGTCTTAGCCATTCTGTGCTACGGACAGAGAACTGGAGGCTCACATAAGTAAAAGGAATATCTTTTATCATGTAGAGGATCAGGGTCATGAGAGGCTGCAGCTACATTCTTCCTTTCTGAGATGGCAAGTCAGCCTGGTGAGCCACGTCCTTAGTAAAGCAAGGAAAAGGAACATTGAGCATCACTTGGAAGTGAATTTGTGAAAATGGCCAAACTAAAAAAAAAATTTTTTTTAAAGAGTTAAAAATGTCAGAAGTATGCCAAATCACAAAGCTGGGGCACAGGGAGACACAGCTGCTCGGCCAAAGTCCGAGGTAGGAGAGGCTGTGAGGTGTGTAGATGCTTTCCCAGAGCCTGGTATATTGAGCAATTCTGTCTCCTTTGCTTAGGAAACTTTATATTTATTATACGACTTTTCTCTTTCTCTTTGTCAGTCCTCCAGCCAAAGGCATATTGAATCATCTTTGGAGAAGCAAATAGGTGAGTCCTTTTATGCGTGCAGATTGAGTTTCCAAAGATGGTCCTCAGAGCTGGGCCCTGTGGGTGGAATGCTGTGAATTGCATCTGTTCTCGGGCACATTCTACTACAATAGGAATCCTGGCTGATTCTGAATCTCTGGTCCTTTTGGTTCTCTGAGCTGCCCTCAACTATGAAGTCAAGTTAATTGTTCAAAATAAGTATATCTGAGTACTGCCCACAATTAAAAATAATTTCCACTTAACTTTGGGAAGAGACACACACCTCTTCAACCCTGGATCTTTGTCGCCTGAGCATCTGGCTCCAGGTCAGTCTCCTTCCTCAGGCCTCCTGGGTCCCAGGCACAGGGCAGTGGCTGAAACTCCCCAGAGAGGTGGGGGTAGAGAGAGAGAGAGAAAGAGAGAGAGAGAGAGAGAGAGAGAGAGAGAGAGAGATGTTTCTAGGAAATGTCTTCTCTTTAAATTCTCTAAGAGATTAATCAAGAGTCAAGCTTTAGTTAAAGCATTTAATAGGAGTACCAAAGCTTTTAAAAAGTGGGGAATTGATCGTCCACATTAGGATGGTTCTTTTGCAGTCACTAGAAAGATTGGGGGAAGACGACAGCCATTATTCAACTACAGAGGTCATTGTGAACTATCTTCAATAATAAAGGAAAGGCCTGGCTGGCATGACTCAGTGGTTGAGCGTCAGCCTATCAACCAGGAGTTCATGGTTCGATTCCTGGTCAGGGCACATGCCCGAGTTGCAGGCTCGATCTCCAGTGTGGGGTGTGCAGGAGGCAGCCAATCAATGATTCTCTCTCATCATTGATGTTTCTGTCTCTCTCTCCCTCTCCCTTTCTCTGAAATCAATAAAAACATATTTTTAAAAATAATAATAAAGGAAAATTCTTTGTATGAGATCCAGGACAGGAGGAAGGCAAAATGTTGAGCATTGACCTCATCACATTTCCGGATATAGTTTTGGAAACTGTGGGCAGACAGATTTAGGACAGAGAGACTAACCTAGGACTTATGGACCTTTAGACTTGGTTAGAATAGGAAGGGAGCTTAGATAGCATCTGGTCTAGTCATCTCATTTTTCAGAAGAGGGACAAAACACCAGGCAGATGAGGCCACGTGCCCCATACCACTGGTGTGGACCTACAGGGCTTTCCAGTATATGGACTGATGCCTCGTGAAATAAGGCAACTCCCATCTCTCTATGATGATTATGAAATGAGAAATATAGATGGGAAGAAAGATGCCTCTGCGAAGACAGTAAGTAAATCTTATTAGAAATTGGGAAGAAAACATAAGGCAGCACTGGCCAGTCAGTAAGGGGACCCCGTTCCTCAGGAAGTGCCTGCTCAGGTGATCCAAATCGCCCTGCTGCCTAGAATGTAGGAGCCAACCTCAGGAGGCTCTGGTCCCCAGCTCTGGGTCCAAGTCCCTAAGGGTAAGAAAGTCCAGATGGGCACAAGCAGTGTAGAAATTTTTGCTAGAAAAAAACAAAGCCTCTAGTAGATTTCTAGGCTAAAATAGATTTGAAAATCAGTGGAATGTGGCTGGTGAAACTGGTACCCAATTACTCATCTTTCACCCACTCTCTGGAGTCATGTTAGTGATTAAAAGTCAAGCGAGCAGATGAGTCAGGTCTACCAACCCCAGAACAATCATCTTCTCCAGATCAACCCAGATGGACCCAACATTGGTTAATTATCACATGGAAATCAAATTAACAACTTTACTAATAAGATAAGAGATGCAAATTAAAATAAGAGATACCCACCTTCATCCATCAAATTAGGAAAAAACAAACCCAGCTGGGAAGAAATGAGAGAAAGGGGCTGCTGAAACATGATGGACAGCCAGGGGCCTGTAAGTTCTGAAGAGCAGTTTGGAAACATATATCAAAAGATCAAAACTGTTAATTTACCTTGTAAACGTATCACAAAGAATTTATCTTTAGAAAATAATTAGAGCTGTGCCTGAAAAATTATGTACAAGGATGTTCATCACTTCCTTACAAGGCTATTTATAATAAACAATTCGGAAGAAATGTAAATACCTATTAATAGGAGATTAGTTGAATGCACCATGGTGTATTGAGATGACAGCATAATAAACAGCAGCTATTAGAAGAACACTTAATGTCATGGAGAGTGTGCACTCTATAGTGTTAGGTAAGAACATACGTTAGTTTAATATTGACTATATACATATATGCATATTTTTATATCTTGATGTTCTTAGCAAAGAACTGGGAAGAATTTATATTTTAGCATGGTGACTGATTCCCTCTGGGAGGCACTAAGCTTCTTTATGTACATCTTTTTCATGTTCCATTTTGCCACAGTTAATTCATTATCTCGTTTATTCATTTACAAATGTTCTTGGGGTGCTTCCTATGTGCCAGGCTGGGTGTTGGGTTGGGGGTGACCACTGAGAACAAGAGAGACGAGGGACCTACCCTCACTGAGCTTGAAGCAAGCTGGAGGAGCTAAACCAAAGCGGGCAAACAAACCATATCTTTCCAAAGCGTGCTGAGTGTGCCTAAGGCAGATGGTCTGGAAAGTCCCAAGGAGGTCTTGTGATTGTGTGTGTGTGTGTGTGTGTGAGTGTGTGTGTGTGTGTGTGTGTGTGTGTGTGTGTAGTGCCGTGGGAGGGTAGGAGAAAGCATTTCAGCAATGAAAATGGCATGTGCAAAGATCCTGGGGCAGAAAACAGTCATCACCAAAGTATGGGTTATATTTCTAGTTTCCTTATTCCAGTATTTATCCAGCAGGTAATCTTACTGAGCGCTTTCTATGAGAACTATACCATACAAGGCTCTCTGAGGGCTATAAAGATATGCACCATTTCCTGTCAAAACATGGCCTAATGCCAGATGAGCTGCACAGACGGCTTGTGGTGCAGGAATGCAGGCAAGAGTCAGCTTCGCCTTTCCTGTTCACTAGCACCTCATTCATGGTGGGTGATCTTGGGTGGCTGCAGAGGTAGCAAGAGCTCAGGGAATGTTCTCAGTTGTTGAGGCCTTCTCATGCACCTTTCTAAGACTCCTTCTCCAATGTCTTAGCTCCATTCATTAGCTAAGTGGTAGCTCCATAGCTCTATTCAGTTAAATATTTGAAGCCAGAGAAGTGTCTATTTTGAGAACTATTCTCTATTTTAACTCCTCAATGTAATTTAGCAAACATTTACTGGTCACATGCCCTGTGTTAGAAACTGACCTGAATACTCTGGTGGATTGAACCTGTAGTAAGAAGTTTACCATTTATTTGAGAGAGTTAGGCAAGTTACACAGTTTTCACAGAAAAGGGGTAGGTATCCAAGTGAACAAGAGAGGTGAAGACAGGATGATTCTGGGAAGGGAAAATCCTATTTGACTAAAAAGGCTTGGGAGGGTGCCCCAAAGAAAGAGGTATTTTCGATGGTATTTATAGGGTTGATAGCAATCACATAGAGATCTGTTTGGAAGGGCATTCTGGGTAGAAGGAACAACATCAGCAAAGGCACAGAGGCAGAGAGCTGGGCATGTTCAGGCCAGGAGTTCTAGGGGAACCATGCACAGTTATACATTCAATGAATCCATTCAAGGTGTTTGAGCCTTAGGATAATTAATTTGGGGCAGGTTGTAGAATGCCTTTGGGGAAGACCTAGCAGCCAGGAGGTGAATTAGCAGTCCTCTTCACCCTCTGGCCTGCTGAGTCTTAGGGACAGTAAAGCCAGAGCAGAAAGAGTGCCGGATTGGAGTCAGGATTCCCCAGTGTCGGTCCCACTCTGACCCTGAGTAGTAGGGTCTTGTTGAACAAGCCACCCAACTTCTAAGCTCATTTTGCCATCTACGAGGTGGGACCGGAATCTCTACAGCTGAAAGGGTTGTGGCACGTTCTAAATGCAGTAACTGGTATGACAGCTCCTAATGAATGAATGAAATTGTTAACGAATGTCATTTTATTGTAACAGTATAACATGCCTACGTCTGCCTTAATTTGGTTTATTTTTTACCTTTCCCTGTCTGTAATACGGGGGCTATGAGTTCCACAGTTTGGATTTGCATTAGTATGTGTTAGACTGTTGCCATTTATGCATTTTTTAAAAAAATCTCTTTTATTTAAATGTCCTGTTTAGAGTTCCACCAAAAGAATAGTCAATATCTCATTTTTACTTCTATATCTCATCTCTCTACGATACAGGTCACCCCAATCCAAGCTCTGAAAAAGGGGAGCAGAGGAAAGTGGCCCATTTGACAGGTGTGTATCGGGAAGGTGCAAGAGGCAGGAAGTAGAACAGCTGGTCGGTCTCCATCGCTGTGTTCTGGGGGAGCTGATAATTGGAGGAGAGGCCCCGTCCCGGCACGGGTGGACTTTCAGCCAGTGGTTGTGTCGTGGAGTGAAATGATTGATAGCGATGTGGTAGGGGCAGTCCCTGTGGGAAGTTCATACACACCCGAGAAGTGGATGAGTATCACAGACTGTGTGTGCCACTGTCCCTGGGATTATTTAGGCAGAATGATCCAGTGCGGAGACAGGCTTCTATAGAGCACATGCATGTGTATGTGCCAAGCCTTGGGGACATGGAGAGAAACAATCCGTGGTTCCGCCTTCAAGAAGCCTAAAATCCAACAGGGAAAGAGGTACACAGGTCAGCACTTCAACACTGGAGAGGTTCTCTGCTTAAGGTGTGTGCATGATGTGGGGACACAGAGGAAGAGGGTTTCAGCCCAAAGAGGGGGACTGCAGGTGAGGAGTTGAGTCCCTGAGGTCCTTTCCAACTTTAGATCTGTAGAGTTTGTTGGATTTGGCTTTTTCCCTCCTGGAAGGACCCTAGAGCCTAACCTTCTATTTCTGAAGATCATAGAACCTTTGTTCCAGAGAGCCAAGTTCCTCTCACTAACTTCTTACTGCAATTGGTTAAGGGTATATATTGTTGTCCACTGTGTGTCTCAGAAGGAATTTAGTGATGGATGAGTCTGACCCCTTAGCCAGCTCTATGGGGGTTATGTCATTTTGGATTAAAACACACACACACACACACACACACACACACACACACACACACACACACACAACCTTTTGCTCAAGGGAAGGCAGGTCCACAGTTTTGCCTTGGAAGCTTAGTTTGTCGGGTGCATGAGCATCCCTGGCTAAAAGCTCCTCTCTGACTTGGTTTTAGGCAAGCCCAACTCAAGATCCATCCCTCTGGAATGGGAAGACACCTATGGAATTGCCCTGGTCTCTGGGGTGAAGTATAAGAAGAGCAGCCTCGTGATCAATGACACTGGGCTGTACTTCGTGTATTCCAAAGTGTACTTCCGGGGTCAGTCCTGCAAGAAACAGCCCCTGAATCACAAGGTCTATATGAGGAACTTGAAGTATCCCCAGGACCTGGTGCTGATGGAGGAGAAGATGATGGACTACTGCACTACCGGCCAGATGTGGGCCCGTAGCAGCTACCTGGGCGCGGTGTTCAATCTCACCAGTGCTGACCATTTATATGTTAATGTGTCTGAGTACTCTCTGGTGAATTTTGAAGAGTCTAAGACATTTTTTGGCTTATATAAGCTCTAAGAGCACTTTGGGGTTCTCTCCATTGTGGCTCCTTGATACAGGCACTGAGAATGTTGTCTTGAAGGAGGGTCTTCTTAAGCCCACTTGAGGTCAAGTGAGAAGACATAAACCAAGAGGATTCTGAGACCAGAGTCCAGCAGGTCTACGGTTCCCCATCTCGCCCAAGGTCCATGAGCCAGACAGGATGAGGAAAATAGCTGGTGAACATAACACTCTGGGCTGCATGTCAAAATGCAAGATGGGCTAAAGCAGCTACCGGGGTGTTCTACACTCAGCTTCAGAGGCCAAGAGTGTTTGGGCACATTGCAAAGGACACCTTCTAACTCACCTCTTGCGGTGGGTCTACTGTCTACCTCAGGGAGGCTGTCTTTCAGGTGTAAGGGATGGAAGAAGGTGACTAAGCTCAAGAGACTGAAAGGCCGGTGTCCCAGTGGCAGCATTTTTACTTCTCAAGCCATAGCCTGAGCTCCCAGGTGATGCAAATAGAAAAGCTAGGGATATCTGTGGGGGATGCAGTCCATTCCCTATACAGCATGTATGTTTCCAAAGCAATTGTAGGTGTGTGTGTGTGTGTGTGTGTGTGTGTGTGTGTGTGTGAGATTACCTAAATAGGAAGAACATGTTAGGGAAATATGGGATGCATTTGGTGTCGGTTTCAAATGCTCCTTGGCAACCAACTCTAATTCTAATAGTCCTCTAATCTTGGATTGTCACCTAGTGATGCTGTTTTCCTATAATATAACCAATATTTATATATATTTTGTGCATTTTAAATGGAAAGAATACATGTAATAAAAACTATATTTTAGAATACAGATAAGAAATATGGATGTACTTTTTAGAAGTCAGAAAGATTTTGCTTTTTTCCTTAGTCTTTCTTCCTTCCATGGCTTCTTAATTCGTTATGACTTAAGGCCACTTCAAGGAGAATTTACTGGGGTGAGAAGCACTTTGCCAGGCTCTCGTCCCCTCTCTGTATTTTCTTCCCTCTCTGTCTTCCATGATTCAAAGTTTCCATTGCTGGTATTATTGCCGGTGTTAAGCTCACCCAACTTTCCATAGATTTGACGACAACTTGTCTCTTCCTGGAGGCATAGTGGAAAGGGCACAGACTTTGGACTAAAATGACCTGAGTTTGAATCTTCATTCCTCCACTTATTAGCTATGTATTCACTGTGCAGGGCCCTTGACCTCTCTTAGACAGAAAAGAGCTGATATGTACATAAAGTATCTGACACATAGTAGAATGTCAAAAAAGAGATGTACCATTGTTTATAAGCTACTCTGTGAGAGACACTTTGTTCTCCAGAAGTCACTGCTCTGGAGAGATTCATCTAAACACCTGGCTTCTTGCATTTTCACTTTGATCATTCACAATTTCCTTCTTTAACTCGGTTCATATAGATTTGCAGTGGAGTGCGGGAAACGTGTAAACTCGGGCCGATTGTAACTGCGTATTACAGGCATTTTATTTTCACAAATCATCTCCTATTATTCCAGCTAAATTGCTTCAATGTTTTATCTATCTCTATATATCTATAATAATAAAAGCATACTATGCTAATTAGGCCAGACATCCAGACAACCTTCTGGACGAAGCTGGGGCTGCAAGGGGAACCCGGGTCCCAGGTGCCAGAGGGAAGCCGGTGCTGGCAGCTGGGGGAAGGAAGGCCTACTCTTGCACGAATTTTGTGCATCAGGCATTTAGTATATATATATATCCCCTAATATATAAATATGTATACTAGTATATTTACCATATTGAGACCTCTAATTAATGAGCTCTATTATTTTCTTGCATATCCATCAGCTTCTTTATTTTCACTCCTCTCTGTCTGGCTTAGATTCTATCATCTGTCATTACAATCACTATCTTGGAAAGACCCTCAACCCCCAATATTCTGTTTCCTTCACTGTATTCCTCTTGGGAAAATCCCATTTTCTCTACATTGGCATCCTAGCAGCTGGATGTTGCAGGAGAAAAATTACACAAACAGACTGGTTTCATTTTATTTTTAATCACTCATCTACTGAAGTCAGCTAATCAATTATGTATCATCACTAATTTGTTTTTTTCCTTTGGATGGATTTGAATAGGCAATGGATGCTCATTGTACAAAATTTAAAGGATATGCAAAGATAGGAGGAAAGAAGTCCCCTTCTCACCCTGTCCTGTGGCCCCATTTCTGCCCACAAAGAGAGTCATTGCCTCTTGGTGTAGCTTTCCAGGGAGGGTCTGTACATAACGCTCCCATCACTTTACACTCCGAGCTAGATAATTCTTGTTGCGAGGCTGTCCTGACTGTACATTGTAGGATGCTGGGCAGCATTCCTGCCCTCCTCCCTTAGCCCTCTGTGCAGATAACCAAAACTATCTCCAGATATTGCCAAATGTCACTGGGCTGAGGCGAGGAGACAAAATTACTCCTGGCAAAGAACCATTACTTTATATCAGTGGTCACAGGTCTCAAATGGGTATTCAACATGGCCCAGCACTTTTTCCTCAGTTCCATGGTAAGCATGCTTTTCCGTTGTTTGAGACAATTAAATCCCATCTTTCCCTCCTGCAAACCAACCCTATCCTGCCCCCCCTACCCACCATGGAACCCCACTCCCACCACCAGAACCCAAAACCCATTGCCTCTGAATAGCCTTCTTTTCCTCCTGATACAGTAGGAGAAGAGGACCATCTCTCCATTTGTGCACTAGACTCATTCCCTCTCCTCTACGTGGCCCATTTAACTCTCTCTGGGTCCTCAAACTATCCCTGTCTATGAAGTCATGTCCAGCATGTACATATGTTCAAGTAGCCCTTTTCACCAAAAGACAAACCAAACCAAACCTTTCTTTACCATCTTTCTTCCTCCAGTAATGGGTGCATTTCTTGGTCTCCTGGTAGAGACAAACATCTCGGAAGGTTGTCCCCCCACACAGGAGCCCCATTTCCTTAGCCAGGTTTATGGCTATATTTATTTGACCACTTAAAAATATCTGTGTTTTTTTAATGCTAGGCTAAATGTCCCAAATGCAAGACATTTTTTTTTGGCCTAGTTTACCCCCATATCCCCATCACCCGACCCCATGCCTGGCACATACTAGGTGTTCAATAAATGTATAAATGTTTGATTATAAGACAAGTGTCTTTCAGTTTTGGCTACATGGGTATGCTTTGAGAGTAATTAAAGTAGTGTTGCCTCATGAATGTGTGTGAATGTTTCTCCAGCTTTGAATAGATTTTTCGATGGGAGACTGAGGCTGCAGATGGAAAAAAAAACCATGCATCCCAACCCATAGCATTGGAAACCAAGTTACATCTCTTTGGTGCCTGGCATTACCAGGAGTTAATCAGGAGACTGGTGATGAGAACTGCCAGGTAACCAGAGCTGAAAGTGTCAATTAGAAGATGCTCAGTAAATATTTGTTGAATAAACTAATGAACAAAGCCAAAGGTTCAGGTTGGGGTATGCCACCTGCTCTCTCTAAAACTCTTCTGTTGATTCAGCTGCTTTATGAGGTCAGGTTTCTGGCCAGGTACCTCATGGGGAAAGCCAGAGAGGCATTCACCTTGCTGGGCTGCTGGGCTGTGTTCTCACAATGAAGTCCTCTTCATCCTTTTCCTTTTCTTTTGGCTCCAACCATCAAGAAGTTTGCTGGACTTTCTTACTTCTTTTTTTTTTTTTTAATCTATAGGCCCTTCTAGATAATGGTACCAGAGCAAAGAGGAAGTGGTCCCACACCCTGAGATGAGCTGGTGTGATGTGCCATCAGCTCGTCGTACTGGTATTGCCACTTTCAGACCTCTAGGTCTGAGCCCTGCTCACATGCCTTTGACGTGTTCTGGAGACAGTTGTGTGGCTCACCATGCTTTAAGTTCTGGTTCTACGGAAGAGAGGTTAACAGTTTCTTTAGGATCTTGACTTACTTTTCTTTACCTCGGTAGAAATATATGGGATGTCCAAATCCCAAAACTTTTGAATATGCTCATTAAAAATGGAATCGGCCATTGGTTCTTTATGAAATGCTAACCCCAAAGAGCACGTAAAAAAAAAAAAAAAGGTTACTTCTAGTTCAGTAGTTTGAGGTTTTCTTTCTTTTCAGACAACCAAAGACACATAAAACCATGTTTTTTTAAGCCCCCCCCAGAGTGGTGACTTTCTGTTCTCTGAAGTAGGTTTTGACTTACCACAGCTTACCAGGAAAAGAGCTCTTCTGGGGACGTCACTGCAAGAGTGACTGATGTGAAGCAACAGCTCATTGAGAGAGGGGATTGGAGAGAGAAGCCTGGCTCCTCCACGCCGGACTCCTGTCCAACCACTAGGCCGTACGCCTGGAACTAATAGAAAATAATATTGAACGAAACTGTAATTGAAAAAAAAAACCACCCCAAAACATTTTACTTCTAAAAAGAAAAGATTCCCTTAGGGAGTTAAGTCTGGTCCTTAACTAAGAAAGCATGTCGCCATACGTCAAATTGCATTCTTTCAAAGGAGTTTGGATAAGTTCTGAAGTTATAGAGATCAGTTCTCCCTTTCTGTGTTTTGTTGTTTCTTCTTTCCCAGCGTTTTGGATCACGCACAGGCAGAACGAGGCATTCCTAGGAAAGCAGAATCAAAACCCCATTCTTAGGCCTTAGACTCATTTCTGAGTTGGAAATGAACCTGATTCAGAAATAATGTAACTATTGATGGTAGCCAGGGACCTTTGGGACTCATTAAGAAACCAGCTAAGTGGGTATTCTGCTCCTTAAAGTTCCCTCAGAAGGTTGGAAAGCATCACCTCAGTGAGGTCAAAGCTTCCCCTTTACGGGGAGACACTTCTCCATCATTCTAGCCGGTACATTTTTCAGAGAAGAGTAGAATTCAGATGTCCCTCCTCTCTCGCTCGGAGGCTCCGTCTGCTCAACAGGGCCACCTTTTCTTCTATTTCTTAACAGAATGGCATGGACCTCCACCTCACATTCTGTGGGAAGTCCAGAGTTCTCTGCACTCTTCTGGGAAAGTCAAGGAAGAACCTCACCCTTTGGGAGGTCCACAGTCTAGTGTCTGCTGTCACGGGGACCGGGCAGTGACTGTGCTTCCAGGCTCCTGTGGCTCCCAGTGTGGAGCAGCTCATTTTCCTCAGGGCACCCTCCCACAGGATGCTGGGTGCAGGCACTTCTACTGAAGGCTTGAAGGTAATGGAGAGCGGTTACCTTAGACGCATGCCGTATAATTACACCTAAGGCTGAGTATTAGACATCACTATCATCCTCCAAATTTGCCACAATTATCTACTTAAATGTGTCACAATTATCTACTTAAATCCTACTACTTGAAAGGATGCAAAAGCCCATTCATTCATTCATTCATTCAACAAGTGTTTGCCACATACCAGAAACTGCCCTATGTATTGTGGATGCATTGAAATATAAAGCCCCCTGTAGAGTTATATTTTAATGGAGAGATGGTGAACATACAATAAAGAAAGAGCAAAAAATATCTAGTAAGATATATGGTAGGAAGTGCTATGAAAAACAGTTACTAGTAAACCAGGTAAGGCTATAGAGAGTTATGGAGGAGGGGTGGTTTTTTTAAAAAGCAGAACTG